ACCTGATATCAAATTTATTTCTACTGAGTAATAGGGAATCTCTATAAGGATAATCCTAATCTTAATCTTAACTGACGAAAGAAGTATCTCTATAAAGATATACCTAATCATAAACTTATTTCTACTGAGTAAAAAGGAACGTCTATAAGGATAACCCTAATCTTAAACCTAACTCTACTGAGTAAAAAGGAACGCCCATAAGGATACCAATAATCTTAAACCTAACTCTACTGAGAAAAGAGGAATCCCTATAAGGATACGTATAATCTTAAACCTAATCTTCTGAGTAAAGCGGAATCTCCATGAGGATAACCTTTAATCTTAAGCCTATGTCTACTAAATAAAGTGGAGTTTCTGTAAGGATACCTCTAATCTTAAACCTAATTCTACTGAGTAAAAAGAAATGTCTATAAGAATAACCCTAATTTTAAATCTAACTCTACCGAGTAAAGAGGAAACGCTATAAGGATAACCCTAATCTTAAACCTAACTCTACTGAGTAAAGAGGGAGGTCTAAAAGGATACCTCTAATCCCCAACGTAACTCCACTCAGCAAAAAGGAATATCTATAAGGATAACCCTAATCTTAAACCTATCTTTTAAGTAAAGACAAACGTCTAAAACGATAAGCGTAATCTTAAATCTATGTATACTGCGTAGAAAGGAACCGCTGTGAGGATTACCCTAATCTTAAACTCTACTGACTAAAGAGGAATCTCTATATAGTTCCTCTTCAACTTAAAACTATTTCTACTGAGTAAAGTGGAACGTTTATACGGATTACCCTAATCTTAACTCTGCTAAGTAAATGCGAACGTCCATGAGGATAACCCTAATCTTAAACCTATCACCACTGAGTAAAGAGGAACGTCTACAGAGATAGCCCAAACCTTAAACGCAATTCTGCTTAGTAAAGATTAGGGTGATCTGTTTCTATCTATCTATCTATCTATCTATCTATCTATCTATCTATCTATCTATCTATCTATCTATCTATCTATCCCATTCTGTTCCCATCTATCTATCTATCTATCTATCTATCTATCTATCTATCTATCTATCTATCTATCTATCTATGTCTCTTTCTCTGTCTCATTCTGTTTCTATCTATCTATCTATCTATCTATCTATCTATCTATCTCTGTCTCATTCTGTTTCTATCTATCTATCTATCTATCTATCTATCTATCTATCTATCTATCTATCTATCTATTTCCATCTCTCAATTTTTTCTTCTTTCCTTCACTTTCTTTTTTCTTCCTCTTTCCCATTTTATTTTCTCTCTCACACTCTTTCTTCCGTTTCTTTTTCTCGAACAATTACCTATTTGTCTATTACGCATCATAGATATGAGGATACCCCAAATCTTAAACGTATCTCTACTGAGTAAAGATGAACGTCTATAAGAAAACCCCTAATCTTAAACTTAACTCTCTTGAGTAAAGAGGTACGTCTATAAGTATAATCCTAATCTTAGACCTAACTCTCCTGATTAAAGAGGTACTTCTATAAGGATACTCCTAATCTTAAACTTAACTCTACCGAGTAAAGAAGAACCTCTATAAGGATAACCCTAATCTTAAACCTAAGTCTATTGAGTAAGCAAGAACCTCTATAAGGATAACCCCAATCTTGAACCTAACTCTACTGAGTAAAGAGGGTCCTCTAAAAGGATAACCCTAATCTTAAACACAACTCTACTGAGTAAAGAAGAATCTATGAGGATAACCTTAATCTTAAACTTAGATCTACTGAGTAAAGAGGAGCTTCTATAAGGTTATCCCTTGTCTTAAACCTAACACTGTTGAGAAAAGAGGAACATTTATAAGTATAATCCTAATCTTAAACCTAATTCTATTGAGTAAAGTGGAACGTCCAGAAGGATAACCGTAATCTTAAGACAAACTCTACTGAGTAAAGAGGAACGTCTATAAGGGTACCCCTAAACATAAAGCTAAGTCTACTGAATAAAGAGGAATCTATCTAAGGATACCCTAATCTAAAATCTAACGCAACTGAGTTTATAAGTGCTACACAAAATAGGAAGTATTCTTTGTGTATACGTATGTTGATTCTCTGTCTAATATAAACTCGTTTTAATGTAGTATACTAAATATATATAAAGTCAAATAACAAAGAAATTTTGGTCACATTTCCCAAACGTCGTTATGAATTGAATGAGACACACATGCATATAGGGAGAAATAGAGAGGCAGTGGGGAAACGGGGGTGTGGGTGGGGGATGCGTAATAGACAAATAGGTAATTGTTATATAAAAGATTATCAGAAATTTAAGATTGATGGTTATCAGTGTGTGAACTGGTGATAAATAGAAAATAAAGTAAGAGAGAAAGAGAAAGAAAGAGTGTGGATGAGAAAAAGAGTGAGTATGGAATAAAGATCGAGAAAAAGAAACGGAAGAAAGAGTGTGAGAGAGAAAATAAAATGGGAAAGAGGAAGAAAAAAGAAAGTGAAGGAAAGAAGAAAAAATTGAGAGATGGAGATAGATAGATAGATAGATAGATAGATAGAAACAGAATGAGACAGAGAAAGAGACATAGATAGATAGATAGATAGATAGATAGATAGATAGATAGATAGATAGATAGATAGGAACAGAATGAGATAGATAGATAGATAGATAGATAGATAGATAGATAGATAGATAGATAGATAGATAGAAAGAAACAGAATGAGACAGAGAAAGAGACATAGATAGATAGATAGATAGATAGAAACAGAATGAGACAGAGAAAGATAGATAGATAGATAGATAGATAGATAGATAGATAGATAGATAGAAAGAAACAGAATGAGACAGAGAAAGAGACATAGATAGATAGATAGATAGATAGATAGATAGATAGATAGATAGATAGATAGATAGAAACAGAATGAGACAGAGAAAGAGACATAGATAGATAGATAGATAGATAGATAGATAGATAGATAGATAGGAACAGAATGGGATAGATAGATAGATAGATAGATAGATAGATAGATAGATAGATAGATAGATAGATAGAAAGAAACAGAATGAGACAGAGAAAGAGACATAGATAGATAGATAGATAGATAGATAGATAGATAGATAGAAACAGAATGAGACATAGATAGATAGATAGATAGATAGATAGATAGATAGATAGATAGATAGATAGATAGAAACAGAATGAGACAGAGAAAGAGACATAGATAGATAGATAGATAGATAGATAGATAGATAGATAGATAGATAGATAGGAACAGAATGGGATAGATAGATAGATAGATAGATAGATAGATAGATAGATAGATAGATAGATAGAAAGAAACAGAATGAGACAGAGAAGGGACAAAGAGATAGATAGATAGATAGATAGATAGATAGATAGATAGATAGAAACAGAATGAGACAGAGAAAGAGACATAGATAGATAGATAGATAGATAGATAGATAGATAGATAGATAGGAACAGAATGGGATAGATAGATAGATAGATAGATAGATAGATAGATAGATAGATAGATAGATAGATAGATAGGAACAGAATGGGATAGATAGATAGATAGATAGATAGATAGATAGATAGATAGATAGATAGATAGATAGATAGATAGATAGGAACAGAATGGGATAGAGATAGAGATAGATAGATAGATAGATAGATAGATAGATAGATAGATAGATAGGAACAGAATGGGATAGATAGATAGATAGATAGATAGATAGATAGATAGATAGATAGATAGATAGATAGATAGAAACAGAATGAGACAGAGAAAGAGACATAGTCAGATAGATAGATAGATAGATAGATAGATAGATAGATAGATAGATAGATAGATAAAGAGAGAAAAAGGTGGAGGGAAACAGAACGAATGTGGGTGTGGAGAAAAGAGCAAAAGGAGACTAGAGACAGAGAAAGAGGGAAGAAAGGGAAAGGAGGGGAAAGAAAGGGATGTTGAGGGAGAGAAAGAGAATTGGAAAGCGGTACAGAAAAAGAGTGTGAAAGAGGGGTGAGAGAAAAAGAAAAGAGAAAGGGAAAGAAAGAGATTGGAAGAAAAAGACGTAAGACAGGAAAACGTAGAAATAGATATTATTCTGTATAAAATAGAAAAATATTGGAGGAAACGGGGAGGCAGAAATAGAAGGAGAAAATAGAGAGAAAGAAAGGGGGTGAGTGAGTGAGTGAGTGAGTGAGTGAGTGAGTGAGTGAGTGAAAGAGAGAGAGATAAAGAGAGAGAGAGAGAAAAGAAACCCTCTAAAATAGAATAACAAGTGGGAAAAGTGAAGGAGTGACTGAAAGAATGAATAAGAAAGAAAAAGATGAATATATATATATATATATATATATATATATATATATATATTGAAGAAGAATAAAAAAATATTAAAAAATTAAAATCTTCAGACACACTAGGTTGTAGATTAATATTCTTTCGTTTTTTTATTATTATTTCATTTAGAAATATTTATATATATATATATATATATATATATATAGATAGATAGATAGATAGATAGATAGATAGATAGATAGATAGATAGAGCGAGAGAGAGAGAAAGATAGACATAAAGATAGACAGACAGACGAAGAAGATAGATAAATAGAGAGATAGGCAGAAAGACAGGCAGATAGGCAACTGAATAGACTAAAATAAATATGATAGATAGATAGATAGATAGATAGATAGATAGATAGATAGATAGATAGAGAGAGAGAGAGAGAGAGAGAGGGGCAGAGATGGAGAGAATCAGATAGAAAGACAGTAATAGAAAGAAAAAGACAGCGATAGAAAGTAAGAGAGTGAGAGAGACAGAGAGAGAGGGGGGGACAGAAAAGAGAAGAGAGAGTGAGAGAAAGGTGGGTGGTGACAATATATAGATGTTTCAAGAGAAATTTTTTGTTTATCAGTAGCTGATGCATTAACATTTCCTTCATATCATATTTGCCGGCACCGAAAACCTCAACCGTTGACGACAGGGAAGTCAAGCCTCAGAGATGTGACATGACCTCATGATCCTTAGAGTCGGTCGCCGACTTAATGACCGTGTGCAAACAGAACAAATTTCGTATTCTCCAGAAAAGAAAAAAAAAGAAAGAAAAAAAAAAAGAGAAGAAAAAATAGCAACAATAACAACAACAACAACAACAAAAACGATGTCTTAGGCCAAATTTTGTAGAGACAGCTGGGATTCTATTTTCAGCGCACTGCCCTCTTGGAAAACGTGTGTCTATCAAGGCAGGAAGAATTCCCGCCAGAATTTGATAAATCGTTAAAGACAATTAAATTTCTTTCCAGATTCATTACAATCTCGCTAAAAAGTTTTATTTTATTTTATTTTATTGTCCAGTCAAGATCGTAACAAATTCATACGTTAGAATAATTAATCTCAGTCTTTGGTGGTAAATTTAGAAAAAATTCAATTGAGACAATTAAAATGGCGGACGGAAGTTTGGCTGGGGTGCATTGAAAGAGGAAAAGAGTAGTAAGAGTCCGAAAAGAATGAAGACGGTGGGTTGGGAAAGAAAGGGAGAAAATGGGAGAAATTCTTAAGGAATTTTATGCATACTGGTTCACACTTTTTTTTTTTTAATGCTAATATCCTCATTTAAATAATTTAAGGTCATTGGAATGGTTTTATTATTCACAATCTTACAAAAGCTAACGGAAAGCATTGGAATTTTCAAGAAGAAAAAGACAGCAAATGTTGTCGCATCAAAATGAAAATGGACGAATAGAGAATAAAAAGTGAACAATGAATTGTTCAAGTTAAATGTCCAACACTGGCACATACGTAGAAAACATCCGTCGAAAATGAATTCTAACTTTAAATGAATTTAAATATTCTTCAGTTAAAGAATTAACGACATTCTTCGACATAACCAAAATGTCGTGCATTCATTCAAAGACTCATGCATGCGTTGCTTACAAAATTTTCTTTGGTTTCTTTATTAAAGAAAATAAAAACGCAATAAACAAAAACAAACGTCTGTGATTATTTTTGACTTGTTTAATTTTTAACAGATTTTTCTTTATTTATTACTTGATATTCATTTCTCTACCTTCCTTTCTTTCTTTCTTTCTTTCTTTTTTCGAAATCTTTCTCTTGTCTTTCGTTAGCTTTCCTCTTCATTATTATTTTCTGCATAATTTATTTTCTATACTTAAAAGATGGAGGAAAAAGAAACAAAATATCTTTTGCTTCGTTAAATGTTTTATTTGGTTGGTTTACTTAATTTCATATTTATTTTTATAACGTGTTTTCTTTTTCAGCCTGTGCTTTCTTTCTTTCTTTCTTTCTTTCGCACTTGCTTTCTTTCTTTCTTTCTTTCTTTCGTACTTGTTTTTTTTTCTCGCTATTCTTTTCTTTCTTTCACACTTAATTTCTTTATTTATTTCATGCTTTCTTTCATCCTTTCACACTCTCTTTCTTTTCTATTATAATAAGCTTTCTGTCCAAACCTGATAATTCACGCTAACGGTCATTTGTCATAGTCTTCTGTATCAATTGAATGCTTTCTTTCTTTCTTTCTTTCTTTCTTTCTTTCTTTCTTTCTTTCTTTCTTTCTTTCTTTCTTTCTTTCTTTCTTACGCAATTTCTTCCTGTTTTTTCATTATAACAATCATTCTGTCCATAAGTCTTTGGTAATTCATTCTCATTTTCATATGTTATCGTCTCCTGTAATACTTCAGTTTCTTTCTTTCTTTCTTTCTTTCTTTTTTTCTTTCTTTCTTTCTTTCTTTCTTTCTTTCTTTCTTTCTTTCTTTCTTTCTTTCTTTTTCTTTTCATTATAATAATCATTCTATCCAAAAGTCTTTGGTAATTCATGTTAACCTTCATATGTTATAGTCTTCTGTATCACTTGAATATCTTTCTTTCTTTCTTTCTTTCTTTCTTTCTTTCTTTCTTTCTTTCTTTCTTTCTTTTCATTATAATAATCATTCTGTCCAAAAGTCTTTGGTAATTCATGCTAATGTTCATATGTTAATGTCTTCTGTATCACTTGAATATCTTTCTTTCTTTCTTTCTTTCTTTCTTTCTTTCTTTTTTTCTTTCTTACGCAATTTCTTCCTGTTTTTTCATTATAACAATCATTCTGCCCAAAAGTTTTTGGTAATTCATTCTCATTTTCATATGTTATCGTCTCTTGTAATACTTGAGTTTCTTTCTTTCTTTCTTTCTTTCTTTCTTTCTTTCTTTCTTTCTTTCTTTCTTTCTTTCTTTCTAATCAGTTTAACACATTTTGGAAATTATAAGCATCTGTTACGAAAATATTTTCATATGAACGTTTTAAAGCTTTAATTGGTATATGTATAACTTGATATGACTCTTATTTAATTTCCAGAATCGATTAAAATTTTTAATAAAAATAGTTTAACCTTTTATTTGTAAATTCAAAATACAAATTTCTAAAATAATCTTGAAAAGTTAATTCTTCCAATTTATTTTTCTTTTCATATCAACAACATAAACTCACATTTCTTAATGGTTCAAACTGTTTTATTGCAAAGAACAGTGAATAATTAAATGTATGTACCATGAAAAACTAGAAGGTCGAGTTTTAGTAATTTCTTTATACATAACATTATTATATTAATTTCAGCATGTGTTTTTACAGAGAACTTTATGTATTTAGTACGCTAAAAAGGTATTTTATCTTAATATTGTCATTGGAATGACAGAATAGAATTTACTTACTAAACTATATCTCATCTTGTTATTCTATATTTAAAACATATCAATTACATTTAACATTAAATGTTGGTATTTACCAAGGCCGATTTTTATGTGGGGTGAATCCGATCCTGTAGCCTCGAAAAAAACTTCCCATAGATCCCGCATACACGTATACAGAAATTGGACACTCAGCGAGTATCGAACTCACTACAGTAGTAAATGTCTCTAAGATTAGCTTATTAATCATTACAAAACGACCTTCTGGATATTTTAAATCTAGCATTGCACCTCAAGTCTGGATCGAACTGGTTGAACATAAATTGAAACAGCTATTCAACATTTCACTCGGGAACATAAACTTTCACAGCTTCTCCGGCGAATGAAAACAACAATAATAATAATTCCATGTCTGACAAAATCCTGAAACAACTTTGGTTAGACAAACTGAAACCCCACATGTTTCAGATCATAACTTCTCTACCCGAGGATATTGAATTAGCCAAAACAGCTGAGATCGCAGATAGAATAATCAATTCAGAACCCGCCACCCCAGTACTTTCAGCGATTTCTTCCACTACCAAGCCTCGCTGGAGTCGATTTTATTGTTAAAAAACTATAAATATAAACAGCAAACTCACTGTATTTTAGTAGTCTTTTTAGTAGTCTGTTATCTCAACAAGTATCCATAGAAAATTTAATGCAAATCTCTATATATAAAGGGCAGGATGTGTGTGTGTGTGTGTAACGAATGCACGGCCGCAATTTTCGACGGATTTGCACCAAAATTTACATGCACATGCTCCAAGTTAGTGGGAAGGCCAAGACCGACTTTGCATTTCCCAACTCCCATCGATAGTGGAAATAAACGATTTTTTCATGCTTCTACGACAGTTTTCATGTAGTTTGCAGCCATTTTCTACTGGCCAGAGTGAGAGCCTATAGCTGGCTGCCACGAATAGGCAGGAAGATTCTATTGGTCAGCGTGAGAGCCAACAGCTGACTGACACGAATGTTAACTAGCATGCTAGCATGCAAAAAAGTCGATAGCTACATTCGTCCCAAGTGGGAAAAATTTAAATCTGCATTGCACTTTACTTCAATTGGCTCATTCGCTTGCTTAAACTCAACGTTGATTCTGATTCTGCAGAACTGGGTTGGGTGTGAAAAAGTATTTGTTGTTAACATTCTTTTTTCATACGGTTTTTCCATTTACGAGTCCTTTTTTTAAAGCTGATCGTTTTGTGTTCATTTTGTTTAGTTCTTTTTTCGTAACAGATTTAATGTTTAGTATAGAGCTTAGAAAAAATTTGCAGTGTGAGATAGGCAAGAAGTAAGGCATGTAGCAACATCAGCACGGCAAAGGGCACTCCTTTAAAGGCAAGGAAGGGCAAAAATATTTTAAGTCAAGTGATAGCGATTGCTGTATGAGTCGTACGATTTTTGAATCAAGCACGGGAAACGCCGGGCCATGCTGCTAGTGCTTACTAAGTTCTGATTAATAGAGTACAAGCAATAGCCTGTTTGAGCAACCTACTATTTATCAATCTATAGTAGGTGATCATATATTCATAGAGCATTGACTGAAGATCCAAAGCAGTATCAGTGTCTTTCTAAATTAAGTTATTAGTTATCTTTTTCATTGCATACATTAAATTTAACATTTTTTGTACAAGAAAATACGAAAGGAAGTGCACCAGCATCCTATATAAATATTAGTAGTTGGTTCTCCTTTCTTACCTCATTTAAATTTTGAAAAAAAAAACAAACCTGAATTCTTACTTTTAACACTCGGGTTAGACAGCAAATTTATTTTACTCAACTTTTCCGTAAATGCTGGATAATCTACTCAAAGATGAAGAAGAGGCAACAGAAAGATGCTTCTACGGAAGGATGCTAAAGATATCATGAACTAAAAGTGAGAGCAACGTTTTAGAGAAGATGGAAACAAAAAGGAAACTGATATTTAACATCAAGAAGAGACGGTTGAAATTTCTGGGTCACATGATGATGAAAGAGGGCTTGGAAAATCTGATACTCACAGGATAGATTGAGGGCAATAGGGAGAGAGGAAAACAAAGCATAAGCAAATGGATAGCGGAGCAGGGTTTACGAGAAATACCGAAAAGACAAAATTTATTAAGGACAGGAAATTGTGGAGAGCCATGACCTCCTACGTCCTGAAGAGACAGGTCACATAGAAGAAGTCTCAAGAAATAGCAAGTATCTTAACATTACATTAATTAGTGAAATTTAATGTAATGACATTCAGATGTGTTTAAATGCTAAATTATTTCAGGACGTAGGCAATCCTAGCTTTTTAATTTCAGATTATTGCTTCCACTAGACCGATTGCATTTTTCTTTTTAATGATATGACACTTCAGGAATTAAGCGATCATCGTTCTTCTCAGAGTCCCTTTTAATAATCAAAATTACCATGGCATCACGGGAAAGATAATAAAGTGGTTTCCTGTGACGTTCTGTATCGTTTTGAAATCTGAATTTTTTATATCATGTTCCTTGAGGACGTAAGCGATCATGACTCTTCACAGATCCTACATGTTTAATTTCTGTGAATTGCTGTAACTATTCGGAAAAAAAAAAGATAGTGGAGTGATTTCCTGTCGATCTCTCTATAGTTTCGAATTCAGATAATTCTTTATTCTAGACTGGCTGTATATTTTATGCCCATTCTTCTCTACACCCACCTTTTTAACTTAACTCCCATTAGAAAATTTAATAAAGTAATTTCATGCTTTCATGTTGCCTATATTTACCATATAGGTAAATCCCCAAACATACGACAGGTTACCAGTGACCCAAAATTTAAATTTGATAATTTAGTATTGTAATTTCATGTTGCTTTCTCTAGGTTTTTGAATTCTTTTTCTCCGAGAGTTTCTACTAACTAAGCGTAGAAAGTCTCAATTGTCTTATTCTTTATCTCAGTGTTAGGGACTGAGGAAAGAAAAGATGGATTTGTACCTTTCCCAAGGTCATTATTGCATTATGAGTTTCAACAGGTAGTTTAACTTGAATCGTTCAATCTATTTTCCTAGTTACTAACTCTGTTAGTTCGCCATCACATCCCTAAGTAAAACATGCGTAGTGTATAGAGATGATAAATATATAAATGGAAGTAAAATATATAATATACGGAATTATTTAAACGACATGTAACCTTATGTGGCATAAAAACATTTAAAATATAGAGACATACATAAATCATATACCAATGAATATATAATTAAATAAAAACCTCTTCTGTGAGAGACTTTGGTGGATTCTGGATACATTCGTATGGTAATGGCAAAAAGCTGTTATAAAGGAGATATTCTTTATGATAAATTAAAATTAGATAGTAATGGCAAAACACTATTTAAAAAAGAGAAAATTAAATAGAAATGGCAAAAGATTTCTAAAAATGGAGATATCTTTAATGAGATATTAACATTAGATAGTAACGGCAAAATACTATTAAAAAAAGAGATATCCTTTATGAGAAATTAAAATTAAATAGAAATGGCAAAAGATTTCTAAAAAAAGAGATATCTTTAATGAGATATTAAAATTAGATCGTAATGGCAAAACACTATTAAAAAAAAGAAGAGATATCCTTTATGGGAAATTAAAAATCGTCCGACATAGAAATAATAATGTATATTAATAATTTAAATAATGTTTCGTTTCATTTTGGATATTTTCTATATTACATCGTAAGTAGCTTAAGGAGCCCTTCGACGTGGCGTAATGGTTAGCAAGCTTGCTAGAAAAATAACGGCTGAGTAGGGAGTTCGATTCTCACCGAGTCCCCATACTTTTGGCCTAGTTCCACAGTTAAGCTACGCTTAGAAAATCACTATAAGTAGTTGATAAAATAAACCTTTTTTTTTACCTAAAAATATATATAGAAAGTATCTGCTTTTTGTTTTAAGGAATATAATGCTTACCGTAAATTGCGACGTACAAATCAACCTGGCGTATGTCTTCCTTTTGATTTTTAGCTCAAAATTTGGCTCATATTTATCATATAGCAAGACCCCACCCAAAAAAGGTTGCCAGTGACCCAAAACTGTGGCTTAAAAATATTTTTAAGGTTGAAAACTCGACTTGCACGGCACAGTTTGCGGTATGTATGATGTAAAACATAACGGCTTTTTTTTTCTCAAGGAACGTAGAGGAATTAACTACTCTTTTACCGCTTGTAATATAAAGGGTAAAATAATTTTTCTTTCAAAATGTAGTAGTGGCAACTGCATTTTCTTTCCGTGTTTTTCCATTTTCTAAA